TGGTCTCTGCCTCCTGTTCCCTGCAGGTGCCAGGCGCGAGCTACGCCGGTCCCCGCCTCCTGTGCCCTGCAGGTGTGGATGCTGCTGGCTGTGCACCGTGGGGTTCCTGAGCGTGAGGTCACCTGGGAACTGCCCTCGTCTAATTCTCAGCCTGCCTCTGGGGTAAGTGGGGACTGCACAGAGGGGTGGCGTCTGCCTCTACTCTTTTTTCCCAGTTGCCCTGGGGAAAAACCCGGCCATTTGCTAATATCCAGTCCTAACTTTCCTCCCTCATTTGAGGCAGGGGAGTGGACACTTCAGTCACTGCTTACTCTGTTTCTGTGGGACAGTGAAGACAGACGAAGATGAGAAAAGGCCCTTGCTGTAGGTCTTCTCGCTCAGTGTACCTCACTTTCTGGAAAGGTGCCGCTGGCCTTGTGCCACTCAGTATCTTCCTGGCTGGCCGATTAGCCCCTTGCCTGTGGGGCCCTTGCCGTGTGCTCGGGAGTCACCTGCTTCAGCCCTGGGAGCTTCCGCGCTGCTTGGCAACCATTCCTGGGCCACGTGGCCTCGCCCCGCAGGTGTAGACGGTGATTGCTGGACAAATGTTGCTTGGCAGGATTGTTATGTGAGGTAGATTTTCGGTTCCTCTTGTGCGCAAGTTTACAGGGAACTTTTTTTGGACATTTCCTTTCAAACTGATTCTGATGAGGGAAAGAGCATCCCTGCGCAGCTGCATGTCCTTGAATTCTTTGGCTCTGACTCCATGTGTGGCTTAATCTAAGTGGCCTGGTCCATGGCAGGGAAGAAATTTAAAGTGTAAGCATTCATATGCACCAGGATGTGGTACTTCTTGAGTTCATTATGCTTATTTTCAATCTTGGTCAGTCTTTTCCATCTTCTGCCTAAGATGATATCTTTTGTGCAGTTTGTGGTCTTTGAAAAAGTTTTAAAAATAATGGTTATACTTAGTTACCCGATTATTTGGCCTGTTGGGGAAATAAACCTAAAATATGCCAACCCGGAAGACCTCTCCACACAAGTAGAAAATAAAGAAAAACAGTTTTATTATTGAATAAAAGTTTGACGAGGCCGGACACGGTGGCTCACACCTGTAGTCCCAGCACTTTGGGAGGTTGAGGCCAGTGGATCAC